GTGGTTTGATAATTCATTAAGATGAAAGTTCGCAAAGTTGATTATATTGTTCTTTACATTGTCTTGTTCTGTGTGTGTGTGGGTGTTGTTTTTAGTCTTTTTAGAACAAAAACAACTAAGAAAAACGCCTTTCTACTGCAGTAACTCGACCATCACATGTCCACTTTTAGTCGCGGGACTCGTTTCACAAATATTATATTGTTAGGCACTGGTTTAATATTATATTGTTAGGCACTGGTTTAATATTATATTGTTAGGCACTGGTTTATATTCACGATAAGCACATGTTCCTATGCATTTTATACAACTTGGAGAACTTTACATTCGATTAAATTGTCGGTTTGGTTTTGGTTATTTTAGAGCAAAGCCACATTGGGCTATCTGTTGTGTACCCCGCGGGGAATCAAGCACCAGATTTAAGTCCGTAGACTTACCGCTGTCCCACTGGAGGACTACTATGTCCGACAATCTTCACTTTATGGTACTTAATAGTATTTTCAACCTGAAAACATACGCTAAACAATCAGATCAGTAAGCACTAGTGTTCAGATATAGTCGTCAATAATGTTGAACTACTGACCAGATAGAAGACATCCAGTCATTCCTCACCACAAGGGATTTGTCCGACTTTAAACTGAATAATGGGGTTGGCTGTCACTCTTGTGACGCATCCACGGCTGAAAATGCAGGGTGTGTCCTGCGGCGCAAACCTTCGAGCGTACGATCCGCAGCTAAACACGCTAACCACTAAGCCAAGTTCGGTCCTATTATGGTTGATCTCGTATCCGTATCTTTTTATTTTCTTCATAAACGGATATGATACGAAGAAAGGCCACTGTCCGAAACATCGTGCTTAAATAAGTAAAATAAATGAAAATACCCACTGTCCGAAACATCGTGCTTAAATAAGTAAATAAATGAAAATACCCACTGTCCGAAACATCGTGCTTAAATAAGTAAATAAATGAAAATACATAGTGCTTAATTTATAGAAGACAAAAGGGGGGTTGAATTCTGGAAAATGATTTAAATGTTATTGAAAATTAAGGCTATTGTTTGGGGTGAGGCCCGAGGATAGTGGTGTAGTTAACAGATAGCTCCTGGGTAGCTTTGCGTAATTTTTATTTGCTGTTAAGCGCAAAGCCACATAATGGGCAATCTGTTCTGTGCTTACCTCGGGTATCGAAATAAGAATTTTGTGTTATAAGCTCTCACAGTTAACGCCGAGCCACCGGGGGAGGGGGGATGCAGTTTTGTGCGAACACGAAAACAAACAAAAAATCACGTATACGTTATTCTATGTTTACTTCTATCAGCTGGAGAAAAGTTAACCGGAAGTATAACGTTATTGGGTTAAATAACTTTAGCAATGAGAGTCACCCTCCATCTGGTGTGTTACTTATATTAACGCTCTGTAGCTATCTGCACTAGTAACCGTTCCTAATTTTTAACTGATAGACTATAGGAAAGACGTATAGTCAACAGCACCCACCGCTAACTCTTGGTCTACTCTTGTATGATTGAATTGTGGGATTTGAGCGTCACCCTTATGACGCACCCACGTCCCCATCCCTAGAGTGCGAAGCGTTTTTTCTGTGCAGTAACGGAACGCATCTTTAGACTTTATGAGCCATAGTCCGTCATCCTAACCACTAGGACACGCCGTCCCTTGGTCTTCAGGGTATGATCTATTTTAACAGAATGTAATTTGGCTTGGGCATCATTTCTCACAAAAATAACAACAACGAAAACAAGAATTAACTCGAGCAATTACGAGTAAAATCAATCGAGATTTATTATTCTGCTAACATGGATAATTCGGTACACCGCTGACGAAAAACTAAAATATAATCTTTCAAACAGTTGAATCATTTAATTATGCTGTTTCACTTGCCTTCATAGAAATTCAAATGTCCGTTGTTTTTGTCGTTTTTAGGGTTTTGAAGAATCATAATTTTATGTATGTACTTTATATAATTTTGTTTGCATTCTTTATTCGCAAATTTTAAAGTTGAATCTTGTAGATGAAGCCTAAAATGCTAAAGAAACACCAAAAAGAAGCACGAAATGCAACAGAAAAAAAGAAAAAAAAACATTACAAACAAATAGGACAACGATCCCTACTTTTCATTAAAATTTAAAAGTTTTTTTTTATCTATTTGTTCAGTTTTTATATGTCCATGGAATGGACACAGCATCTATAAACTTTATCTGATAACTGTAACTTTTGCATAAATTAAAACCACGATCACAAATTTGAAAATGTAATTCTTACTTTGACCTACAGATAAGTATATAGCACTGCCAAAGTAGGGATTAAATTTTATACATTTGTGATTGTGGTTTTAATTGTTGTTTCATTACTCTTTGTAGCAGGATCCATACTTTGTTTTAAAATCCATAATTTTTAATACTCTTGTTGTACTTTATATCTGTATAAAGTATATATATTTTACCTTTAGAAACAGTTGCGTGTCTATCCATCGATATGTAGTGCCATCTGTTGGGATGAAAATATATTTAAGTACCTACATGATATGTTTACCATTTATAAAAAATCTGTATATATTTATCGGAATATCAAAAGCGGTTACCCACAAACCAGTAAAGTAAACTGGTGAAATCTTGTAGCGATAGTCCGAGCCGTCTAAGAGCTAGCTTCGCTGACGTGATCAGGTAGGTAGGTAGGTAGTAGACGAAAAGTTGCCGTTTTAAAAATTTTTGAATTGTTATACCGGAAATGTTAGCGACCTTTTTAGCGTCTTATTAGTATATATGCGCATAATATATCATAACCAATACTTTAAATGGTCAGTTTTTCGTTTAGAAATTTAATACGGTGGTTTTTCGGCGCGTGACTTATTTGGAAACCTTGTCGATCCCTACTATTAAGTACTACCGTACTTAATAATGAGGGATCCAAAGTATTCCAGCACACTTGTATTTGACAAATGGTTTCGTATTTTGGAGCCTAAAATGTGTGTATGTATGTACGCGCGTGTTCTGTGGAGTAAACTAAATGTTTATCACGTATTTCAACCTATACACCGAAAATACCTTACACTATTTAGATAAACAGATAGATTGAATTAAAAATAATTTGTTTTAGCTTTGAAATAACACAGAACTTCCAGTTGGATACATTTATAAACTAGTGGGTATTATGTATCTAAATAACCTCTGTAAAGCAGATTTTACCGCGATGGTGAAAACCTGTGCAGTAAAGCACTATGAAAGTGGTTATAGCTGAGACTAACAAGACAAGCATCTTTACAGGTCTAGCAACAAAGAAATTGGATAAAGCCGATCAATAAAACTGAAAACAAATGTTGTTGTTTTTATTCCTTTGTGATCCTGGGAATGACTAGTCTGTTTTTATTTACAAGCAAACACAACTTTGTTTTTTAAAGGTAAAAACTAATTACTCACCGCTAGAATAACTTTTCTAGTCGCCCTGTTATTTATCCATACATATAAGTCAACGAAGATGGATGGAAGAATATATAGAAGAAGAAGAAGAAGAATTTAGATGTCCAGAAAGATGCAACGAATTCCAAAGATTCGAGAACTAATTAACTAATGCGAATAATTCTCAATAGTGACCTCACTTCCGACCAGTATGACGTCAGAAACAATGAACCCTTCTTCGTCTTTTCATTTATCTGCTTCACTGTACACTATTTTCGTTCCTTTACCGTTTCATACACAAGTCAAAACAGTCGGGCTCTTATTACTAGTGGATGTTTAATGTTTTGTGCCATTGATTTTTCGCGCTTAAAAATTAGTGCTTCCTATGATTTATGCTTTGTTTCTTTAGGTTTTGGTTTCGTTATCTTTGAAAGTGAAGACGTGGTAGACAAAATTTGTGAAATTCATTTCCACGAAATTAACAACAAAATGGTGAGTATCGATTTCGTTAATTATTTATGACTGATTTTGAAAAAAGAAAGTTTTTATTTATTATATAACAGTTGAGAAAGATTTTGAATCTCTCTTTTTTTTGAAGTTCTATTTAATTTTTTCTGCTTTAAACTTCTTTCCGCACTATTGCATTTACTAAGAGTAAGAAAAACTGTTTTGGGCACTTGCAAAGTTGTGATGTTGTTTCTGTCCTCGAGTAAACTGACCAATTATCTAATATTGTGCTAATATTATGTGTATGAGTGAAAAAGATTCTCTCCATCAATTTGCAAGTGGATCAGAATAGAAACAGTTGTTAATAATGCTTGGACACGGCTTGAATGGTACCTGATGATGACAAAACCTTGTCGAAACGTTGTGCATTTGCTGTTATGTTAAACTTATATTAAGGTTTTTCTTCATTACCCATTCAAGCCGTCTCCAAGCATTATTAGTCTCAAAGTGGGTTCCTCGTCATCGAAGAAGAAACAGTTGTTATTTCCATCGTTATCCAGTCACCGAGATGACGTCTCTTCCGGTTCAGGCCACTCTCACTCTTAGACAAGCAGTCATCAAGTTAACGTCTTTTCCGGTTCAGGACACGCCCACTCTTAGTCTTATTAATAGTCTCTTAGATGGTGTACGCTAGAATCAGGAAAACTGATGCACCAAACCCAGAGAAAAGGGAAACACTTTAATCGTTGAGATGTATTTGCTGGTTATAGCAGAGCCCAGAGCCCCTAATGGCAAAATCTTGTCTAATACGTAAAACACGTTTTCTTTGGAAAGAATTGGTTTAGACAGTGATAGGTATGATAAGTTATCAAATGTCGTTAGTTAACTAATTGATTACTATATGCAGAATCATCTATAATATTACTGTGTTCATTTAGCTTGCGTGATTGATTAATGCTTTCTTCAATGTCATCTTTGTTCTATAAAAAAAAGATATAATCCTCGACGTTGGGGTTTTTAATCATATTAAACTGACGTAGTATTATATAATTACGCTGTTGGAAGCTTGAAGACGTTTAATGCAATACCTCAGTACATATGATTTCCGCATCAAGAAGTATAAAATAGGCTTAGTTCTATCATTATTCCTTCGTTTTACTTCACATTGTTGGTTCTATGCAATTAATTTTGGAAATAAAGAATGCAGTTTGTATTAAAATATTATGAGATCAATCTTTGAACCGAGGAATTAATTTTGGGTTTCACAAATTACTCTCCAAATTATTAATTTCACAGAAATGCAAAGTTATTTTTTTCACACGCCATCAAAGGTATTGGTAAAGTGTAGTTCCGTTTGTTTATTTGTGCTTATTACTAGAATTAAAAAGATAGAAGTTTAAAATGTCTTTTTAAAAAATAAAATAAGCTCCAGACAGAGGTGTAGGAGTCTAATTATTTGACCAAGCGAAGCGAGGGAATGTAGCACCACAGGCGCACCCGTTACGGCTTGAGTCTATGGGTCGAGTTAGGACCCTTGTAACTTTTGGGTTCTGGACTAAATTCTATGCATTCTCCTGCTTCTCTTGAGAGTGACTTTCCTAATTTTGATATATTTGCTGAGACAGATTGAAAAGTGGGGATCCGCCTCCCCCTTCCCACCGCTTCCTGTGCTACTGGTAGAACATAGAAGAGGATTGCCAAAAATTAATTGTAGTTTAACCTCCTTGTGTCTTTGAAAAATGTAAATTTTACGATAACAGTTCATAAACAGGAAATGTCACACGTAGTTCAACTTTTTTAACTCTGTGTTCTAATTTTATGAAGAAATTACCTGTTAAAAACAGAATTAAACACTGTTTATGATTAGAGAATATAATTGAACCGTTTACGACTTAACAAGGCTTTCACTAAAGTTGTTTTTTTTTTTTTTGGTGCCTAAAGATTTGTTTCAGTTTTGCTAACCAGGGGCATATCAGTCTCCAACATGATTGGCCAAATTGTTTGTGTCATCACATAGAGATTTAGACTAAAAGTTAGAATAATTTTAGGGTTGGGGACAGTGAATGAAAACCTGATTTAAAATTAATTTCTTCAATATTTTCTCTGGTGACTTGGAAACTTTAAGATTTATTTAAACCAAGTAAAAACATAAAAAAATAACTAAATTACAGGTGGAATGTAAAAAAGCTCAACCGAAAGAAGTCATGATGCCTACTACAATTGGTCGAGGAAGAGGATCAGGAAGAGGAGTGTATGGTGAGTCAGTTTTAACACAGAGTTGTTATTAGTCCTAGTAGGGTTTCATGTATGTTTTATGACAATGGGTTTTGTTTATTTGCTGTAAAGCATAAAGCTGCAAAATGGGCTGTCTGTGATGTGCCCACCACGGGTATCGAAACCCGGTTTTTAGCGCTATAAGCTTCCAGACTTATAACTGAATCACTGGGAGACACGGCAATAGGTTTGTGTGTGTATATTTAGGTCACAGATACATGATTCAATATATCACAGATACAGTATATATTTGATAGCTACAAAGTTTCCAATTTTTCTAAGTATTAATTCTAGAACACTCTAAATGCGGTTAAAATTATGTGCTAAATTCAACTTAAGGTGTCATTTTATGTAGTCTGACCATTCGACGAATTCATCTGCTGTTTTGTGGAATAGCTATATAATGATTTTTTTTTTCTGATCGGTCAGCTGCAAAGAGAACGTAGTGGATGCAGTTTTGGCGATCTTGGAAAGATTAACACTTCTTATTTTTGAAGCGTTCAGTTCGTCTCACCTAAAGAGGCTAAGACTCATTTGTAAAAGCCCCGTGCTAGTTTCATTTGATTTGCAACTATGTAAATTTTATCGTACTGGTTGTTGTTATTTTGATCGTGCAAAAGACGTAATGGGCTATCTGCACTGTGTCCGTCGCGGGGAATTGAGCCCTGGGTTTTAGCTTTGTAAGTTTCTTAGAATTACTGCTGACTCACCAGGATACTATCTCACTAATAAAACTTTTGAAGTAGCAAATTCAAATGAATGAAAGTTATAGTCAGAGCCCTCTAATGTTAACCTTTGTTTTTCTTATTCTCTGAAACCAGTCTTAAAAAATTCCTTTTTCTATTCAAAAAATAAAACAGAAAGTGATAACGTTTTTATAAAGTATTTAAAGTTTGTTCAATTATATACCTGATTATATACTTTCATGATTCAGAAATTCTAAATCCTTTGTTGAAAATAATGCAATGTGTCTAAAATTCGCCCTCTCCCCTTTCAGATCTTATTTGGCCGCTCGGTGCACTCACAGATGGTAAGTGTTACTTCAGCTCTTGACTTTGTAGCTCCCACTCCCCGTATCTAGATTGAAGTACGCTATATATCTGAAATAAACTTTTTGATAATACAGAACACAGAACATGGTCCATTTATCAAAATGTGCAGGGTGTCCATAAATTATCTGACCCGTTTTAAAAATTAATAACTTCAAAAATATTATACATAGAACGCTCAGGTTTTATTTAACTTGACGAACAACCCATAAAGTTTTTTCCTCTTTTCTGTTGCTCCATCACACTGGAGTCTTGACGTCCGGGAGTTCCTGAATAACACGTTCCCAAACAGATAGATTGGTATTGATGGACCAATATGATGGCCCTCACGTTCCCCTGACATAACCTCGTTGGATTTTTTCTTGTGGGTGGTTATGAAAGATCAGATATGTTTGACATCTGTGCATGATATCGTGGATCTTTGCCACAGAATAATCGATACAATAAAGAACGTGACTCCCGAGATCTTGAACAACACCTGGAGGGAGGTAGAGTATCTCTTAGACATTCTTCAAGCAACAAACGGTGTGCATGTGGACGTTTACTAAGACAAGAAAAAACTTTATGGGTTGTTCATCAAGTTAAATAAAATGGTTGTGTTCGATCTGTAGTATTTTTGAAGTTATTAATTTGTTAATGGGTCAGATAATTTATGGACACCATGTACATAGCTGTAATATTGCACATTGATGTCTCGTAGATGATATTGGTTTCTGCTCAAACCTCACATGGTGAATTTTAATAATTAATGGTAGAAACTGTGGTTATATACACGGTAATAGGATAGTCTGTTAGAAAGAAACAACTGTATTGACGAATAACAAACTTTACTCGAATGTGGGTAACAAACAGGTAGTGGCCAAAAAAATGGAAACACCAAAGTACCTTAATATGGTGTTTGGACACCACGTGTGGCCAGTATGGCCTGTATGCTCCATGGCATAGAGTCTATCAGCGTCTGGAATTCTGCAGGAGGAATGGGACACCATTCTTCCACAAGAAAGTCAATCAACTCACGCCTAGTTGATGGAAGTGGAAAACGCTGTCTCAGGCGTCGTTCCAGAATATCCCATACATGCTTGATTGGGTTCAAATCTGGTGACTGAGAAGGCCATGACATATGGGTAACGTCAGTGTCATGCTCCTTAAACCATGGAGCAACTACTCGTGCTCTGTGGACGAGGGCATTATCATCTTGAAAGACACCCGTCTCTGCAGGACAGAAATGCTGTAACATGGGGTGAAGATGATCACTCAGTACCTTTCCTTCTAAGGGTATGAGCGCACTCAAACCATGCCAGGAAAATTTGCTCCACGCCATTACGGAACCACCATTGGAACCAAGCACTCAGGGCTGTAGAGTTCTCTAGGTTGGAGCCACACTTGCACTCGTCCACTTGTTGAGAACATTGGGAAGGATCATTCATCTGACCATATCACATTTCACCAGTGCTTGGTAGTCCATAGCCTGTGTTCTTTGCATCACTGAACGTGCAACCATGCATTGCCAGGTGTGATGAGCGGTTTGTGCACTGCAACCCGACTATGATATCCCGTTTTGTGGAGTTCTCGGCGGATCGTTTTTGATAAAACTGGCTACTCTCGCTCCAGGTTGAAATTTGCAGTCAGTTGATCTGCCTTGCTGTCTTGCCCTACAGTTCGAATTAATGCACGGACATCACGATCCTGGAGTATGGGCTTCCGCCCATTGTTGCCTTTTGCTGATGATGTCTTACCCTCAGAGTTCCATGCTGACATAACTTTAGACACCAGCAAATTGAGCTGTATTGGTCACTGAAACTCCAGTCAAACGCACCCCAACAATCACCCCTCTTTCAAAGGCACTGAGGTCTCCTCTTGCAGCCATGCTAGCCATGATTATAGGCAACCAGGCCTGTCCAGCATTTTTTATACATGGCCCTATGCATGCTGGGATGTTATTTTGTTAATTAATGGACGAGCCACACCTGTGTGGTAGCCTCTACATCGCATATACTTGTTGTCCCTCATTAACCCAAGTGTTTCCTTTTTTGTCCTTTACCTGTACATGATAAACAGGATATGCTGTTGTAAAGAATTTACTCTTTTGTAGATTTTGGCCTCATTATTAAGCGTGCACAAAACTTTATTAAAACCCACATTACCCAACATCATGCCCATCAGTACAGCCTGTAATTTTGCAGAGATAAATGAATTATTCTCGTGAAGAAAGGTCCGAGTGTTTACTTAACGTTAAAATGTGTCTCAAATCTTGTTTAGGAATATAAGCTAGTTTAGAATTGTATATTCATAAATTAACAGTGAAGAAATGTTTAACTTTCAACTGCTCTCTAATAATCTCAAAACTTACTTTATAATTTTTGTGAACTAATTTAGAAGTATTGGTTTTGGTTTAGATTCTGACGTCCTGTGTACACCCCTGTCTTCAGTAGGGTTCCCAGCCTACAGCTACGGACGCACGAGCTTTCCTGGATATCCTGGCTTTGGCCACTTGTTTGCAGGTATGAACTTTAACATGCAACAGCTATGTGTACCATGCCCTCTTGACCACTTGAGTGTCTGCAATTTAAACGGCCTGTAGCTGTGACACCCACCCGCCCCCTAGCGAGTTGGCCCGACATATCTTCATTGTTAGCTTTCAAAAATACAACCTGTAATCTACTGCATGGAACCTCTATCGCAGTATTTGACTGTGACGAGCCTTATTCCCTCGACCACTACTCGGGATTAATCCGGGTCCATTTGTCATATTCATTGTATTGTTTGTATATGGACAAACAATCGGCAATGTTCGACTTCAAATCGGGTTTATTCGACTTTCCCGAAGACTATGCCACCCACAGAGGAGAAAATGCACTGATTCCCAACAGTATTTTTGTGCCAAAGCTTTCAAGAGAAAAGAAAAAGCGTTAAAAATTGGTGCCCTTAATTAATTTTTTGTTTGTTTTTTTAAATAGAAAAACGGGCTATTTGGGGAAAATTTAATTTCTTAGAATTCATTCTTCCTGATAAAGAATTGAAAGTAATTCTTCTAAATGACTGCGCTGTATGGCAACGAAACAAGGAACATATCAAGTTTTGTATCAATTTCACGTCTCTCGGAAAAGTTTATATATACATACATATATATATATATATATATAAATATATAATTTTGTGTATAGTCAAGTCTTAATTTAATACTCAGGAAATCCACAAAATAAGTTAAAACTAGAACCAGTTCTAGTCCTAGTTTGTTTTCGTTCTCTCTCTCTTCTCTTTTTCTTTTTTTTTTTTTTTGCTTAAGCGGGAAAATGTGAACGGTATGAGAAAAATAATGTTTATTAGGTGTATGTTAAGGTAATTTTTGCCTAAATTACTCTCACATCCAAGATGTATATGGATTTATTGTAGTATCTCTGTTGTTCATTAAGTAAGAACATGCTGTTCAATCTATCAGATCAAGTGTGTAGTAAATAGTAGCCAGAAAGTTATAGTTAGCACTTGATGAATTTGTTTTCTCTGTGGACAACTAACTGAAGACCCTGGATAAGCTTACGCGAGTCTTCGTAAGTCCACTTATAGAGGCATTGAAACGTCATCTCTCATCCCAATCTTTTCCAGAGAGATTGTTCATAGTACTTTTCATTGACAATATCCCAGAAATTTGAACGCCCCTTCGCCCCTAGGGACCAAACTTGGCAGCTTTTTCAAAATATTCATGACAGAGTTCCCACAGTTAACGGTACATTGAAGTTTCATTTTCCAGTGGATTTTTTACTTTATTATATAATTTGGAAGTACAGAAACACCAAGTTTGAAACTTGTAGTTAATAAGTTAGGTTACAATAACGATATTGAAATTCGGATGAAGAGCACTTGTTCACTCTGTGTCTATTACAACAATGACACTGTAATTCATGAGAAGAATACGTGTTCACTATGTGTCTGTTGCAACAATGATATTGTAAAATTGCCTGAAGAAACATTTATTATATGCTTGTTGCACTCTCTTATTTGTACTCGTGCTATACATCCTGTTTATGGTATGCAGATACATAATAGCTTGTTTATGCACGTGAAAGCGCTCTTAAGTATTTGTTTGTTGCAGTCTTGAAATTTGTTTATTCGGGGACTTTAAGGCTACAAGTTTGTAACAGTACTGTCAACATTTGCATTTCCTGCATTTTCCCAATTTGAACAGCATGTTCTGTAGTTCTACATCTATGTGTCAAAAAAAAAATTGTACTTATTCTAGAGTTGCTACCTTAGTTTTAAGTTGTTTACAGCTTTAGAGACTAGGAGTTTGTCACTTTAGTAGATTAGGGACGTGATTTCAGAAATAAATAAGACTTATAAAGTTGTCTTGGTAAAATTACCCTATCCTCAGTTACTCTTCCTAAGCATAGCAGTTCAGGGTTTGTAGGTATCCTTCAGAATTTGCTAATTGATATTGAAAATCAGGGACCCTCACTCTTAAGTGCAATACCTATTACAAGTGTTTGTGTTTTTCTTTCTTTTTTTGCACTGTGAACTAAAATATGAGTTACATGAATATGATGGATTTGTTTAAGATTGTGGAAATAAATGGTTTAAATCTGAAACACCTGTTGCAAGGATTTGTGATTTTACTTGTAGTCGTAGAGACACCAAAATATAGCAGGTTTTTACCACAAAACTAAACAAGCATCATTTAAAAAGCTTAGGCTGTTTTCACTTTAGTCTTGTGAACTTATCTGACCATAATACATATTATAAAACTAACTTCTTTTCCTTTACAAAATATATCGAACCATGATATAACACCCCAACCCCTTCCTTACAACATCATTTATAACACCCCAACCCCTTCCTAACCAACATCTTTTATATCATATTAGTGAATGGAGATACTTCATTTGAGATTTCGAATTGTATTTACTTTTTTTTTTACCAAATTCAAAAGGCTGCTTAATAACTTAGAGCAGTGTTTTCGAAACTGTGGGGCGCGCCTCCTTGGAGGGTCCCAAAGCGGTGGCTAGGGGGCGCAGCCTTTTGCCTGGAGTACCCAAAAATCACAATGAAAGAAGCAGAAAAACGAAAAAATAAATTTAACACTTTAAATTTTCCTGCTAATACTTAAGAAAAAAATTGTTTAAAGAAGGCAAAGAAACCACTGTCTTTGCTGTTATTATCACATGTGAAAATTATAAAAAATTGATTAAAGAGAGGCAAAGAAACTACTGTATTTGCTGTTATTATCACTTTTTTATAATTTTCACATTTGATTAAAGAGAGGCAAAGAAACTACTGTACTTGCTGTTATTATCACTTGTGAAAATTATTCAGTATGAAGGAGGAGGGGCCAGAAGAACAATGCTGAGTTAGGGGGCGCCACTACTTAAAATTTGGAAACCACTGACTTAGAGATTGACTGTGATTGTTTTACAGCTTTGTACTTGTTGTGACATTGGAATCGAACTACTGAGTATATTTATTAACGTTCTCTATGTATACGAGGTTAAAATTTCTGAGATGACGGTGAGTACAACCAAATGTTATATGTTTTGAAGATATTCAAACTCTGTGTTTGTGTGATGTCTCACTGTTACCGTTTTCGATCTGTTTAGTTACCCTCTTCTTGATTAGTGAACAAACACGCACACAATTTAGTAGTTATCCCAATTGTTCAGCGACAAAAGGATGCCGCTGTCTGAGGGTTACATAACTGTCACGTAGTAAGCACCAGCTGGCGCGGCCGTCTTAGGGGAGTTATGATATCATAGTTTCACAAAGTGGCACCAGAGGAAGCGACTGTCTGGAGAGGGATGATATCAAAGTTCGATACCAGGTGTTACTAGGTGGTCGGTGCTACCTGCTACCAAGGTTCTATAGGTAAATGCTGTTACCAAGATTCTATAAGCAGGTGGTTTTGCTAGGTGTATTGTGTGTGTTTTACAAAGGCGGGTAATATTTCTATATGCAGATAGTGTTACTGTGCTTATGTAGGACTGCATACAGATGTCAAATTATAAAAGCGGACACTTTTACTAAGGTTCTATAGACGGATGGTCTTACTAAGGATAGTGTTTCCATGTTTCTATAGGCGGATGGTCTTAATAGGCAATCTTGTATGTGTTTTATAAAGGCGGATGCTGTTTCTATAAATGAATAGTACAATAGGTTGATGAGCTCATCGTAGGCTGTCTTAACGTGTGATTACGTCATCAACATTTTAGACTAGACTTAATTATATGTCCTAAAAGTTGCAAGTAAAAACAATTATTTTAACGAGACAACTATTATAACACTGTTAAATATATTAGTTTTTATGCACACACTATCTTAGTTCGTCCAATATTTGAACGGGGAAATAATTTACTTTACATACTTTTACAATTACCTGTCCTGAAAGGATTTTATCGTACCTAATGTTTAATTTTTATAAATATTGAGCCAGACAGTTACATTATTATTCTACAGCCGATTATGTTTTTTTACTATTTAGTACACAATTAACAAACTATAGTATAGTTTCGCTTCTATATATATAACTTGCATAACATACTTTATAGAATTATCATCCTGAAATAGACAGATAACATAATCATTTATATATTGTAATTTAACATACCAGTTTATCGTTTCACTTTATAAGTACGTATATATAATACATGTTTCATTAATTATAATGTTTGGCTAAAACATATTCTTATGCTAACCCTCTACATATGTAGCTCTGTTTACATTCGTATCTCTAAATTTAACAAATGGTTAATAAACTCGGTAGTAAACCATTTTGCTACAAATAAATATGATAAATGAATGACTTAGTGTTTAATCAATCACTTTACCATTATAGAAACTATTTGAAATAGCAACACTCACCATTCTATGATTTTCTATAGAATATTCACTTAAAGAACAAAACACACTATACTAATAAAATTCGTAAAATTTTTTACATAAATCAAAACGTCTGCAACGATTACCTAAATCCGGGTTCGATTCCCCCCGGTGGCAGATAGCCCAATGTGGCTTTACTCTGAAACAAACAAACAACAACTTACATCTTGAAATTGACTTTTGAAAGTCATTGTTAACTTTAGTTGTGACGTCACTTCTTATGTTATCAAGATTTAAAGTAGTAGAGTAAAACGTTCAACTCCCCTTTTTACTAAAGTAGTTTAGTAAAGCATTCGATTATGACGTCACTTCCCGTTTTATTAAAGTAGTTTAGTAAAGCATTCAATTATGACGTCACTTCCCGTTTTATTAACGTAGTTTAGTAAAGCATTCGATTATGACATCACTTCCCGTTTTATTAAAGTAGTTGAATCAAACATTCAGCTATGACATCTCATTAAAGTTCTCTTCTGTGCTGAGATCTTTATATGTCCTTTCAAAATCGCAATGTTTTTTTTAATATCAATATTTTAACACCCATTACCAATAACATTGTTTTATAAATTATGTGTCTTCATGGTTCAAACAGGTTCGTGTCAAATTAGAAAGATGGTTGGTTATTTCGCAGAAATATGTA